TCTAGCCAAGCACGTCAGGAAATAAGAGAAAGTGCAAAGGTTTTCAATGAAATTAGTCCTGGAGCTAAGGGGCATGTCCTACGAGGAAAGGTTAAGGGAAATCAACCTGATGACACTGGAGGACAGGAGAGACAGGAGGATATGACAACGACATGTAAAATACTCAGAGGAATCGACAAGGTGGACAGAGACAGGATATTCCAGAGATGGGACACAGCTACAAGGGGTCACAGTTGGAAGCTGAAGAACCAGATGAGTCACAGGAATGTTAGGAAGTATCTCTTCAGTCATAGAGTTGTCAGGAAGTGGAATAGTCTGGAAAGTGAGATAAACTCCAGGTGGAGGCAGGATCTATACATAGCTTTAAGAAGAGGTATGATAAAGCTCATGGAGCAGGGAGAGTGACCTAGCAGCGACTATTGAAGAGGCAGGGCCATGAGCTGTGAGTTGACCCCTGCAACCACAATTAGGTGAGTACACACACACTACACAAATAACCCATAAGTAGGAGAGAAAGGAGCTTACGACAATGTTTCGGTCCGACTTGGATGTTGTATTGTGCCTTTTTCTTCACACACACACACACACACACAGACACACACACACACAGATAGACAGACAGACACACACACACACACACATACACACACAGTCCAAGACGAGGTTTGATAAAGCTCATGGAGCGGGGAGAGAGAGGGCCCAGTAGCAACCGGTGAAGAGGCGGGGCCAAGAGCTAAGACTCGACCCCTGCAACCACAAATAGGTGAGTACAAATAGGTGAGTACACACACACACACACACACACACACACACACACACACACACACACACACACACACACACACACACATAGACAGACAGACAGACAGACACACACACACACACACACACACACACACACACACACACACACACACACACACACACACACACACACACACACACACACACACACACACACACACACACACACACACACACACACACTAGAGTTTTATGACAAGGTGACAGAAGTAAGACAAGAGAGAGAGGGGTGGATCGACTGCGTATTTTTGGACTGCAAGAAGGCTTTCGACACAGTTCCTCACAAGAGGTTACTGCAAAAGCTAGAGGACCAGGCACACATAACAGGGAAGGCACTGCAATGGATCAGAGAATATCTGACAGGGAGGAAACAACGAGTCATGGTACGCGACGAGGTGTCAGAGTGGGCGCCTGTGACAAGCGGGGTTCCACAGGGGTCAGTCCTAGGACCTGTGCTGTTCTTGGTATACGTGAACGACATAACGGAAGGGATAGACTCAGAAGTGCCTTGTTTGCAGACGATGTGAAGTTAATGAGAAGATCGAATCGGACGAGGATCAGGCAGGACTACAAAGAGATCTGGACAGGCTACAAGCCTGGTCCAGCAACGGGGCCCTTTAATTTAACCCTGCCAAATGCAAAAATCATGAAGATTGGGGGAAAGGGCAAAGAAGACTGCAGACACAATATAGTTTAGATGGTCAAAGACTGCAAACCTCATTAAAGGGAAAAAAATCTGGGGGTGAGTATAACACCGAGCATATTCTGAGGCGCACATCAATCAGATAACTGCTGCAGCAACGGGCGCCTGGCAAAACCTAGATAGCGTTCCGATCCCTCAGTAAGGATTCTTTTAAGACCCCTGTACACCATCTACGTCAGGCCCATACTGAGTATGCACACCATTTTTGGAATCCACACCTAGTCAAGCACGTCAAGAAATTAGAGAAAGTGCAAAGGTTTGCAACAAGACTAGTCCCAGAGCTACGGGATTGTCCAAATGAAGAAAGGTTGAGGGAAATCGGCCTGACGACACTGGAGGCCAGGAGGGTCAGGGGAGACATGATAACGACATATAAAATACTGCGCGGAATAGATGAGGTGGAAAAAGACGGATGTTCCAGAGATGGGACACAGACACAAGAGGTCAAAATTTGGGAAGTTGAAGACTCAGATGAATCAAAGGGATGTTAGGAAGTATTTCTTCAGTCATAGAGTAGTCAGGCCATGGAATAGCCTAGAAAGTGATGTGGTGGAGGCAGGAACCATACATAGTTTTAAGGCGAGGTATGATAGAGCTCATGGGGCAGGGAGAGAGAGGACCTAGTAGCAATCAGCGAAGAGGGGGCCAGGAGCTGTGACTCGACCCCTCAACCACAAATAGGTGAGTACAAATAGGTGAGTACACACACACACACACACACACACACACACACACACACACACACACAGTTCTATGACATGGTGACAGCAGTAAGACAAGAGAGAGAGGGGTGAGTGGATTGCATTTTCTTGGACTGCAAGAAGGCTTTTGACACAGTACCACACAAGAGATTAGTGCAAAAACTGGAGGACCAAGCAGGGATAACAGGGAAGGTACTGCAATGGATCAGGGAATACTTGACAGGAAGACAGCAGCGAGTAATGGTACGTGGCGAGGTGTCAGAGTGGGCACCTGTGACCAGCGGGGTCCCACAGGGGTCAGTCCTAGGACCAGTGCTGTTTCTGGTATTTGTGAACGACATGAGGGAAAGGGAATAAACTCCGAGGTGTCCCTGTTTGCAGATGACGTGAAGTTGATGAGAAGAGTTCATTCGACGAAGACCAGGCAGAACTACACAGGATCTGGACAGGCTGCAGACCTGGTCCAGCAACTGGCTCCTGGAGTTCAATCCCACCGAGTGCAAAGCCATGAGGATTGGGGAAGGGCAAAGAAGACCGCAACGGAGTACAGTCTAGGGGGCCAGAGACTACAAAAATCCTCAAGGAAAAAAGATCTTGGGGTGAGTATAAACCCAGGCACATCTCCTGAAGCGCACATCAACCAAATAACTGCCGCATCATATGGGCGCCTGGCAAACCTCAGAAAAAGCATTCCGACATCTTAATAAGGAATCGTTCAGGACCCTGTACAACCGTGTACGTTGGGCCCCATATTAAGTATGCAGCACCAGTTTGGAACCCACGCCTAGCCAAGCACGTAAAGAAACTAAGAAAGTGAAAAGGGTTTTTGCAACAAGACTAGTCCCAGAGTTAAGAGTAATGTCCTACGATGAGAGGTTAGGGAAATCAACCTGACGACACTGGAGGACAGGAGAGATAGGGGGGACATGAAACGACTTACAAAATACTGAGAGGAATTGACAAGGTGGACAAAGACAGGATGTTCCAGAGACTGGACACAGCAACACGGGGACACAGTTGGAAGCTGAAGACACAGATGAATCACAGGGATGTTAGGAAGTATTTCTTCAGCCACAGAGTAGTCAGTAAGTGGAATAGTTTGGGAAGCGATGTAGTGGAGGCAGGATCCATACATAGCTTTAAGCAGAGGTATGATAAAGCTCACGGCTCAGGGAGAGTGACCTAGTAGCGATCAGTGAAGAGGCGGGGCCAGGAGCTCAGACTCGACCCCCGCAACCTCAACTAGGTGAGTACAACTAGGTGAGTACACACACACACACACACACACCACACACAAAACATTCTTCAATAAGTAATTTGTTGTTGTTGCTCTGTGGGGAAATAGTCTGGCATTCAGAGTGGTTTTTTCCCTATATAGTTGGTAAGTTCCCTTAATTAATCTTCACTGGTCAACTTGGGGACATTTATGCTAATCTCTGGTGAATAAACAATGGCATAAGCCCATAGATTTTGAAAAAAAAAAACACTGTTTACAGAGAACCTTTCATTGCGACATTTCTTTCAAGACTGAACTTGAATGAGCTTCATTCATGGACAAAATGTCATAATAAAGGCTTATGTGTTGTTTTTTCTTTATCTTATGCACCAGTGATGTCGACACACCCTCAGCAGCTCAGACCCTGGGCTGTCTTCTTTCTGACTACAGCCCACAGGATGGGTATGGCCTGCATAATAAAGATTGTAAACCTAACTCACCCTCAGGACGTGTGACATAGTGTGACCTGAATTATGACTAGATGTGTTTCAATCATTGCGCAGTCCGAAAAAGGTATTCTTGTTCTCCATAAGCCCAGCCCTCTCTACCTCCATGCATGCAAAAGGAACTGCACAGAGGTGTCATAAGTTTCTAATGCAGTTACATATTAGCATTCATAAATTATCACAGGAGAAACTAATAACATAATTACGTCAACAATGGCAAATTGGCATCTACGTGGTCATAAACCAATCTGAACCTTCTGCTAAGATACACCACACTGGCTTTGAAAGTTTGAGGTCAATCAAGATAGGTATTCTCTAGTTATCGCACGGAGACTAATGTCCCTAAATACACCAGCACTGTAAGTACACAGTATCCTCTCAAAGATACATTACTATGTGCCTCAATCAATATTACTTACTCTGTATTACTCTCTGATCTATACTTACCTCATCCATGGTGTGGAAAAGACACTTATGCACAGTTCAGAACATTCAGGAAACGTTTCACTATGATTATTATAATCATGGGGAAGCGCTAAACCCGCAGGATTATACAGCACATGTGGAGGGTGGATGAAAGGTATTCAGGCTTAATTCAGGGAACTGGAGCACAGAACCAATTCCCTATATCAAGAGCCCCTCACCAGCATTAAGGAACCTCCCTTGAGGGGATTTCACTACAAGTGGCTTCTTCAGGTTGATGAAGCCACTCGTGGCAAAATGTTTCCTCTCATAAATTTTCTGAACTGTACATAAGTGTTTTTTGCCACATCTTGTCAGTATCATTCATGTATGGTATTTGTGCCTGGTATTTACTACAGTATATCATCTACAGCCAATAATATCTCAACAAAAAGTGGCTGTATGAACAATCACCCAGTCTAGTACTATCAGGAAACCACTTATAGGTATTCCTTTAAGGATATCTAAATACATATACGTAAGATGTCACCTCATCTGGGCCTCCAGGCTACAGTGACAACATGCCACACCCCTTTCCTTCTGTATAAATACCTTCTAAGAGGATACTAAATGACATGATATTAAATTACTTTACGATGGTAACTTACCCAGCCTATTCCATCAAATATTTTGACATCCAGAGGGTAACCCACAAGCCTGCCATCAATGAGGGTGAGTGAGTGGCAAGATGCCAGGGCTTTGGTCAAGGGCTGGTCAGGTGACAACTGCATCAGGTCCTCTACAGGTGCTACCAGGTCACCTCTCACACATGGCACCACTCCAGCTAGTGCAAGGTCATCCTCAGTCAGTGTCCCTGTCTGTATATGTAATGCAGTTTATATAATTCTTCTCCATTACAAGTGAACACCCTCGTCCACAACAGAAAAGTACAACATGAAAAATTCCCAAAATTTAAGTCGTAAGACATTTCTCAGACACAATAAAGAAATCACATAAATGAATATTTGTTTAGTATGTCAGGAACAAAAGATAATTAAAGTGTCAGATAACATTTTGGACTTGTTCTTTATGTACATCGCATGTAAACTACATGGCGCTGAAATTTAATCTTGAATGAAAGTTTCAAGGTTTGTTGAATGAGTGTAGCACAGTTTGTGGGTAGTTGACACCCTGAATAAGGACTTCAAGGCTTGTTGGATAACTGCAGCACAATTTTCATTTTTGAAGGCAGTTACTGTTCCTGCATAAAAATATTTATTAAAATACATTTATATACATCAGATGAATGTGATAAATACACACAAAACTACCTTTGCTTTACAAGGTATTTGTTGTTTAACATCTTTGTCGTCACGCAGCAGGCTACATACTCATTATGTGCATCCATTCAACTGTAGCTTGTTAAATCCTCTGGTGTATATGGACTTAATGAAAAAAAATGAAATGGTTCACGATGTTTAGATACATCAGTGGTGGAACAATATTGTCCGACCACAATGACGTATCATTTTCTATGGATCCTTACCATTTATAGGCTTTAATGTTATTTATATCTCATTCTTTCCTGTATATAAAACCACCTGCATACTTTACAGCTCAATTTTTTGGAAGTTTTACTCGGTTTTGACATTAAACAGTACGGTGTTTAGTGTGTGGTATCATCAGCATGGCTGCTGATCCAAGTTACTCTGCTCATCACCACATGTGTGCACTATCACCATGTGTTTGCACTATCACCACGTGTGTGCACCATCACCACGTGTGGTGATGGATTTATGAAATCCAATGCTTATGATATTCGGGGGTCCACTGTAACATACAGACCAGGCCACGGGGGTGTTGACCCCCGAAACCGTCTCCAGGCATACTCCAGGTATACAGTGGAACCTTGGTACTCGAACAGCTCCATACTCGAACAATTCAGTACTTGAACGCTTTGTTTGGTAAAATAATCGCTTGGTAGTCAAGGTAGTCAACCATTTATTATTTGCTCAGCACTCGACCAAACAAACACAACCTGCCAGAACATGCGCATCAGTCTCCCCGCAACCCCACTGAATTTCATTGTAAACTATTTTGTGTTTCTTAGCATTTTTTGTTTTCTTTTTTATATTATTTGTATAAATAAGTCACCATGGGGCCTAAGAAGATTAGTGATAACAGCCAACCAAAAAGAAAATTGGTTAGTGTGTGTTTGCCCTGATGTCAGCACTGCCTCCGCCTCTCCATATAATATGCCTTTTATTATTAATTTCGGCGTCTTTATTGTGCTTCTAGGTTATCTATCGTGTTTCTGATATTAAGTTGGCATAAATGTGATAGATAGATAAACTTTATTACTAATTTTAGCATAATTACACAACATCGTATTTGTGCCACCACTAGTATCTGGCTATCAAGACAACTCATCAGATACTGAATGCTCTTTCTGTTGGCTCCTCCCTCTCTCTCCTATAGCTCCTCCCACTTCAGACCCCTCTTACATTACACTTGCTTTCCGTTTTGAATTTTTATTCACACAAAAAATAGAAGATTTACTGTTATGCAGACTACTGCATTATTGAAAAATAGTATAAATAAAATCAGCACATTTGTGAAAGCATATTAGACCCACCAGTTGATGTGTATTGGATGCATGACGTGATTAATTTACTCTTGCACATCAGAAAAATCGAACATTTCCGCTACTTTGAGCTCAATTTCAAGATACTTTTAGTCTGTAAATCATTCAAAATCATCTCTATTTCTGTAATAAATCTTTCATTCTATCAAATGAGACCAAGAAAACGAGAATACAATCATAAATACCATACGAAAATATACCGCAAAGTCACTGTAAGTGTATTTTTGGGGGTCTAAAACGGATTAATCTAATTTACATTATTCCTTATGGGAAAAATTCGTTCAGTACTCGAACAGATTGGCACTCAAGCAGCCTTCTGGAATGAATTAAGTTTAAGTACCGAGGTATCACTGTAGTAATTTACTGAATTTTCTTATATAAAAAAGAAACATTAAAGTATCTGTGATGTTAAAGTTATGTATGCATGTGAAACAATTCTAGGTCACTAGAATTTCAGTGTTACAGTAGAGAGAGAGAATTCCACTCCATGACATGATTAATACTGTACGTGTGTTTGGGGAAAAAAGTCGCCAGGAAATTTGAAAGTGTCATTATCTCATCAAACAGTTGCAAGAAGAGTAAATGAACTTAATGAATATGTTTCTTTAAAACTGAAAGATGAAACACTGCAGATGCTTTTTATTGGCTTTAGACGAATGTACAACATCAGTGAACAAACCATTGCTTAACATCTCCCAAAATCTCTCTCTCTCCTCTGCATTCTACTCTTCTCCAGGTGCATACACGCTTATTATGACCCACTTTTCGCATCCAACCTTTACTTTAATCCACATAATTCTTGAATTTACACATTCATATTCTCTTTTCTCCTTCCATAACTGATCCTTCAACATTACTGCTACCCCTTCCTTTGCTCTAACTCTCTCAGATACTCCAGATTTAATCCCATTTATTTCCCCCCACCGAAACTCTCCTACCCCCTTCAGCTTTGTTTCGCTTAGGGCCAGGACATCCAACTTCTTTTCATTCATAACATCAGCAATCATCTGTTTCTTGTCATCCGCACTACATCCACGCACATTCAAGCATCCCAGTTTTTCTTCTTCTCTTTTTTAGTAAATGTCTACAGGAGAAGGGGTTACTAGCCCATTGTTCCCGGCATTTTAGTCACCTCATACGACACGCATGGCTTACGGAGGAAAGATTCTTTTCCACTTCCCCATGGACAATAGAAGAAATAAAGAAGAACAATAGCTATTTAGAAAAAGGAGAAAAACCTAGATGTATGTATATATACAGTGGACCCCCGCATAACGATTACCTCCGAATGTGACCAATTATGTAAGTGTATTTATGTAAGTGCGTTTGTACGTGTATGTTTGGGGGTCTGAAATGGACGAATCTACTTCACAATATTTCTTATGGGAACAAATTCGGTCAGTACTGGCACCTGAACATACTTCTGGAGTGAAAAAATATCGTTAACCGGGGGTCCACTGTATATGCATGTGCGTGTCTGTGAATTGTGACCAAAGTATAAGTAGGAGTAGCAAGATATCCCTGTTATCTAGCGTGTTTATGAGACAGAAAATGAAACCAGCAATCCTACCATCATGCAAAACAGTTACAGGTTTCTGTTTCACAGTCATCTGGCAGGACGGTAGTACTCCCCTGGGTGGTTGCTGTCTACCAACCTACTACCTACACTTAAATATGTATTGCTAGACTTGCTGGTAATCTGAGTTGTTGTTGAAAAATCATAATGTATTTGCATTCTGTGACTTGTTTAACGTCATAAACTTATCGTTCATATTAATATGGAAAAACAATTATTGAATGTCAACTACAAAAGATTTAAGTAACCCATGCTTAAATAAGCACCTTAGATCACCTACCTTGTCGAAGCAAACAATGTCTATGGATCCTGCAAGAGAGATGTAGTTAGAGGAGAGGGAGAAGATGCCTTGCTTCTTGAGTCTATGCTGGGCCCACACATTGATGGCTGTCACAGTAGCTGGCAGAATGGGCGGCACTACGAAAGTGATCAGGTCCAGCGTGTTCAAGAGGATCTCATGCCATGTAGCCTGTAAGTGAACAACACAAGTCAATGATGCTCAAACTCCACATCACTTGTACAACCACTTCCTTCTAAGTGGTACAGTGGTGCTGGTGACGAATTCTTAGTCCGAGGAATTGGAGATCCCCTCCTAGGACTAACCTTCATAACCCCTCCATTTCCCAGGCACTGGATGACCTTTATGGGTTTTATCGCATTCCTCTGGCTATATTTGTGTTTCCACAGGTCAATCATATGGCATGCGGGACTGGATTATTGGATGCCACATCTGATCCACCTTGAGAAAGTTCATATGTTGTTAACCAGACAAGATGCAAAGCTGAAGGAAATGTATCATAAGAAAAGTGAAGGAAATTTTCCAAATGATATTGAAAAAAGGTAAGATCAGGGAGGATATGGTCACAACATACTATAGAATCAGAGGTACTAAATAACAGAGGAAGCAGATTATATATACACAACTCCAAGAGTTAAAATGAAAAGAGCCTACGCTGCTAGGAAGCAGAAATACAATTGGCTGTATGTGGGGTTGCAGCTGTGCACACCAGGGAGAGACACTCTCCAGATTCCACTTACATGATGGGTCTCGGCTTGAATAAGTGACCAGCTAAAGATATCTGGAATTTGTGGCCCCTCTACTTGGACTTGTTTTTGTAGCCAATACAAAAAAGAAGCTAAGAGGATTTAGAACTGGGGCAGGGTTTTATTGCAAATATGATGCTATATGATATAATTATTAAAATTATTTTGCTTATATTATATCACTAGTTGATTATACTGCACTCGTACTTGCTCTTCTGTCAGACAGGGAGCTTGGAGCAGGAGAGAGTTTAAAAATTGCTGAATGAAGCAATGATAATCCTCCTAGAATATTCATGTGCCACCAAAATTCTAAACATGTGGAAAGAACTTGATATTACAAGTACAAAATACTGTATTGTGTCACTGAAAGATATGGACTTGGAGTTTATATGCTTCGGCAAACCCATCCAAACCCTTGCACAGAAGTCCTCCAGACTTTCTTCACCACAGGTGAAGACTCCTTCAAATGGATCATAAAAACTGGAACTAATCTCCAAATGAGTGAAATACATGAGCTATACCAAGTAAGCCAACAGCAACCCTTCACTACACCATGAAAAATTACCTCTTTCTGAATCACTGTCCTTAACTTTTTATGAAGGAACATTATTCAATCACCATCAAACTATCATCTTGAAGATAATATCGATGCTGCAAACTGTACTGATGTCTTAACCACACAGCACTCTCTTCCACAAATAATGTATGTTGATCGCTTTGTTCACCAGCCCTCTGCTGTAACTGGTAGTGCCATTGATGTCGTGCAGGGTGATGGCTTCTATACATAATAGAACATGCCTCAGCAGTTGGGCTTCCAAGCTTCAAGCTGAACTGTTTGGTATAATAACTGAACTCAAATATTCAATGTATCTACAGCTGACATGCTAATTATAAAAGATTCTCACCCACAAATGCTCTTAACTCTTTAAGTGTCAATTGTGACATACTTGTGTCACTTTGCAAGATGGACACTTATCACACCTTGTGCCACTGAGGGTTGGAATGCGATAATATTAGTGAATTCAGAGTCAGCTCACTCAGAAACGTTCAAGAAATGTCAGTGTTTTATCCACAGTGGCATATTATAGACCATTCTAGAAAAAAATATCCTGACTTTGCACACTGTAAATAATGCATAACTACTTGTTTAAATTCAAACATTTCTTGAAAAATGTAAGATAATATTTCTGGACCCATTATGTGTCTCTAATCTTTTGCCTACTGCCCACAGGTTGGGTATGAGTACATAATAAAGATATGTAACTAACTTGTGTCAGAAGCTAGACATCGGTATAAGAGAATGGTAGACAGTGGAGTTCGAAAACACCTATGAATGCTGTTTGACATTAGTCTTCATACCAGAACTGATGAACTGGTACAGACACATATGTACCTTCAAAGAGGGAGATGATAATTTTAGGCTGTTTACTAGTAATTTGGCAGCAATACAAAAAGAAAGCACTTCAACTGAGCTTCACTGATTGAGAAAGGCTGACACCTATCCTCATTCTATCAAGCAGGAGGAGCTACATGTCTATGACTCATTCAACAAGGTCAGCAAACTGCTGGATGTCAGCAGTGTCTGGCTGTGGCTGGGCTATGTGCATCTCTGGGAGGTTGCACCACCACCTGAAGCAGACCAAACTAAATATAAACTTTGCTAGAGGAACTATTGCTGCTGGTTCATTATGAGCTGGAATGAAAAACAATCATTTGTTCAGAGACAACTCACAAATATTTGAGAAATTTTAAAGTATTTCGTCCACAGTGGTATATTACCAGCCATTCTGGAAAAAAATATGCTGACTTTGCCTATTGTAAATATGTCATTGCCACTTAAACTCTTCAAAATCTAACCACACATTGCTAAAACATTGTTATTGTTAATAACTCGTAACTACATGTGAACTACATTGTAATAATTTTCTGATTAAATCCATGTCTGCGTAAGCAAGACATTACGAATGTTATCTGATCGTAAAGTTTAAACGTTTATTACTCTGTAACCTACTTGGTTATCATAACATTGTCTTTATCCCTGGACCCAATATGTGCTTCTGTAATCTTTTTATTATCTCCTACAGGATGAGTATTTGGTGCATAAGAGAACTACTTCCCTAACTAACAGTAGAACTACCTTTCATACCAGACCTTCCATCCCTCCAGACCTACCTTCCCTCCTCACCTTCACACCAGACCTGTCTTCCCTCCTCATCTTCACACCAGACATACCTTCCCTCCTCATCTTCACACCAAACCTACCCTCCTAGCAGACCAACATCCTAAGAGATGTCTCATTCAAATAGAAACAGATGATAAGCTTCAGTAACGCACCTGAACTCTGTACCATAAGACAAAGCTGTAGATCATGGCCATCACCCCAAGCACCAGGAACACCACCAGCAGCTTCAGGAAGTCGGTGTAAAAGTGAAAGTCAATAGGTTTCGGGAAGAGAATGGAACGGACCAGTTCCCCACGGGCTGTGTTGAAGCCTGGAGAAAGACACATTTATATATTCATGGAGAAATGCTGAATCAAGAGATTCATCTTTGTTTATATACACCCAGGGGTGTGATCTCTCAGTGTATATGCATCGAGAGGTGAGTATTATAGCAATGCTCTTTTTGCCGAATAAGGCAAGCGAAAATTTGTGTATGCAATAATTTCGCAAAAATTATTCTGAACCTAACGAAAAAAATATATTTCATTGTGTTTGTTTATTATTAAATTATTGTAAATTTATTTAAAATATATTTAGATGGATTAGGCTAAATTAAATTATGCTTGTAATAATAAGGTTATTTAAGTTTTCTAAGGTTCCTTTGGTACAAAATCATTAATTTTTATATTAACATATATGAAAAAATCTATCTTTAAATGTATAAGAGATATTTTAGAAAGGACTTAATTTCATATGAGTTCTTGCTAATTGACCAATTTTACCTATTCAGCATGACATCATATATATATATATATATATACATTTTTTTTTTTTTTTTTTTTCAACAAGTCGGTCGTCTCCCACCAAGGCAGGGTGACCCAAAAAAGAAAGAAAATCCCCAAAAAGAAAATACTTTCATCATCATTCAACACTTTCACCACACTCACACATTATCACTGCTTTTGCAGAGGTGCTCAGAATACAACAGTTTAGAAGCATATACGTATAAAGATACACAACATATCCCTCCAAACTGCCAATATCCCAAACCCTCCTTTAAAGTGCAGGCATTGTACTTCCCATTTCCAGGGCTCAAGTCCGACTATATGAAAATAACCGGTTTCCCTGAATCCCTTCACTAAATATTACCCTGCTCACACTCCAACAGATCGTCAGGTCCCAAGTATCATTCGTCTCCATTCACTCCTATCTAACACGCTCATGCACGCTTGCTGGAAGTCCAAGCCCCTCGCCCACAAAACCTCCTTTACCCCCTCTTTCCAACCCTTTCGAGGACGACCCCTACCCCTCTTTCCTTCCCCTATAGATTTATATGCTTTCCATGTCATTCTACTTTGATCCATTCTCTCTAAATGACCAAACCACCTCAACAACCCCTCTTCTGCCCTCTGATTAATGCTTTTATTAACTCCACACCTTCTCCTAATTTCCACACTCTGAATTTTCTGCATAATATTTACACCACACATTGCCCTTAGACAGGACATCTCCACTGCCTCCAACCGTCTCCTCGCTGCTGCATTTACCACCCAAGCTTCACATCCATATAAGAGTGTTGGTACTACTATACTTTCATACATTCCCTTCTTTGCCTCCATAGATAACGTTTTTTGACTCCACATATACCTCAACGCACCACTCACCTTTTTTCCCTCATCAATTCTATGATTAACCTCATCCTTCATAAATCCATCCGCCGACACGTCAACTCCCAAGTATCTGAAAACATTCACTTCTTCCATACTCCTCCTCCCCAATTTGATATCCATTTTTTTCTTTATCTAAATCATTTGATACCCTCATCACCTTACTCTTTTCTATGTTCACTTTCAACTTTCTACCTTTACACACATTCTCAAACTCATCCACTAACATTTACAATTTTTCTTTAGAATCTCCCATAAGCACAGTATCATCAGCAAAAAGTAACTGTGTCAATTCCCATTTTGAATTTGATTCCCCATAATTTAATCCCACCCCTCTCCCGAACACCCTAGCATTTACTTCCTTTACAACCCCATCTTTAAATATATTAAACAACCATGGTGACATTACACATCCCTGTCTAAGACCTACTTTTACCGGGAAGTATTCTCCCTCTCTTCTACACACCCTAACCTGAGCCTCACTATCCTCATAAAAGCTCTTTACAGCATTTAGTAACTTACCACCTATTCCATAAACTTGCAACATCTGCCACATTGCTCCTCTATCCACTCTATCATATGCCTTTTCTAAATCCATAAATGCAATAAAAACTTCCCTACCTTTATCTAAATACTGTTCACATATATGCTTCAATGTAAACACTTGATCTACACATCCCCTACCCACTCTGAAGCCTCCTTGCTCATCCGCAATTCTACATTCTGTCTTACCTCTAATTCTTTCAATTATAACTCTACCGTATACTTTTCCTGGTATACTCAGTAAACTTATTCCTCTATAAGTTTTACATTCTCATTTGTCCCCTTTCCCTTTATATAAAGGGACTATACATGCTTTCTGCCAATCCCTAGGTACCTTTCCCTCTTTCATACATTTATTAAACAAAAGTACCAACCACTCCAACACTATATCCCCCCTGCTTTTAACATTTCTGTCATGATCCCATCAGTTCCAGCTGCATTACCCCCTTTCATTCTACGTAATGCCTCACGTACCTCCACCACACTTACATTCTGCTCTTCTTCACTCCTAAAAGATGGTATACCTCCCTGGCCAGTGCATGAAATTACCGCCTCCCTTTCTTCCTCAACATTTAAAAGTTCCTCAAAATATTCTCGCCATCTATCTAATACCTCCCTCTCCCCATCTACTAACTCCCCTACTCTGTTTTTAACGGACAAATCCATACTTTCCCTAGGCTTTCTTAACTTGTTTAACTCACTCCAAAATTTTTTCTTATTTTCATTAAAATTTCTTGACAGTGCCTCTCCCACTCTTTCATCTGCTCTCCTTTTGCACTCTCTCACCACTCTCTTCACCTTTCTTTTACTCTCCATATACTCTGCTCTTCTTATATATATACAGTGGACCCCCGCATAGCGAACGCCTTGCATAGCGAACAATCCGCATAGCGAACGCTTTGTTCGCTGAAATTTTGCCCCGCATAGTAGACAAAAACCCGCTCAGCGAACTTCGTCCGAGACGCATCCAATGTGGGCCCTCAGCCAGCCTCACATGTGCCGCCCGTCCCATTGTTTACCAGCTAGCCTCCGCGGTAACATTCAAGCATACACTCGGAATATTTCGTATTATTACAGTGTTTTCGGTGCTGTTTCTGGAAAATAAGTGACCATGGGCCCCAAGAAAGCTTCTAGTGCCAACCCTGTGGTAAAAAGGGTGAGAATTAGTATGGAAATTAAGAAAGATTTTGAAGGGTTTGGGGCTAACCCTGAGAAGCCTATGCCAGTTGTGGAATCCATTGTGCCTACTTCAAAAATTAAGGAAATGTGTGCACAGTGGGTTGAACTGCAAACCTTTATGGATGAAAATCACCCTGACACAGCTGTTGCAAGCCGTGCTGGTGACTATTTCAATGACAATGTTATGGCCCATTTTAGGAAAGTCTTGAAGGAACGGGAGGTACAGAGCTCTATGGACAGATTTGTTGTGCGACAGAGGTCCAGTGACTCTCAAGCTGGTCCTAGTGGCATTAAAAGAAGAAGGGAAGTAACCCCAGAAAAGGACTTGCTACCTCAAGTCCTAATGGAAGGGGATTCCCCTTCTAAACAGTAAGAAGATAATGCTCTCCCCTCCTCCCATCCCATCAATCATCACCAGATCTTCAATAAAAGTAAGTGTCATGTAATTGTGCATGCCTTTTTCAGTTTGTGTGTACTAAAATTAACATTTTTTTGTGGTAAAAAAAATTTTTTTTCATACTTTTGGGTGTCTTGCACGGATTAATTTTATTTCCATTATTTCTTATGGGGAAAATTAATTCGCATAGCGAACATTTCGCATAACGACCAGCCCTCTTGCACGGATTAAGTTCGCTATGCGGGGGTCCACTGTATATATATTATATATATATATATATATATATATATATATATATATATATAATATAATATATATATATATATATATATATATATTATATATATCCTAGGTAGTAGGTTGGTAAACAGCAACCGCCCAGGGAGGTACTACCGTCCTGCCAAGTGAGTGTACAACGAAAACCTGTAATTGTTTTACATGATGGTAGGATTGCTGGTGTCTTTTGTCTGTCTCATAAACATGCAAGATTTCAGGTATGTCTTGCTGCTTCTACTTACACTTAGGTCACACTACACATACATGTACAAGCATATATATACACACACTCCTGGGTTTTCTTCTATTTTCTTTCTAGTTCTTGTTCTTGTTTATTTCCTCTTATCTCCATGGGGAAGTGGAACAGAATTCTTCCTCTGTAAGCTTTGTGTGTTGTAAGAGGCAACTAAAATGCCGGGAGCAAGGGGCTAGTAACCTCTTCTCCTGTATATATTACTAAATGTAAAAGGAGAAACTTTCGTTTTTCCTTTTGGGCCACCCCGCCTCGGTGGGATACGGCCGGTGTGTTGAAAGAAAGATAAATATATATATATATATATATATATTATATATATATATATAATATATACATAATGATATAATGTATATATATGTATATACAGTGGACCCCCGCATACCGTACGCATCGCATACCGTTCAATCCGCATACCGCTCGCTTTTATCGCAAAAATTTTGCCTCGCATACCGCCCAAAAACCCGCTCACCGCTCTTCGTCCGAGACGCGTCCAATGTGCGCCCTTAGCCAGCCTCACATGTGCCGCCGGTGGCATTGTTTACCAGCCAGCCTCCGCGGTAACATCCAAGCATACAATCGGAACATTTCGTATTATTACAGTGTTTTGGGTGATTTTTTCTGGAAAATAAGTGACCATGGGCCCCAAGAAAGCTTCTAATGCCAACCCTACAGCAATAAGGGTGAGAATTACTATAGAGATGAAGAAAAAGATCATTGATAATTATGAAAGTGGAGTGCGTGTCTCCGAGCTGGCCAGGTTGTATAATAAACCTCAATCAACCATCGCTACTATTGGTGGTACAGCTGCTGCTGCTGTTGTACCACCGTCAGCTGCTGCTGCTGCTGTAGTACCGTCTGCTGCTGCTGTAGCATCGTCTGCTGCTGCTGTAGCATCGTCTGCTGCTGCTGGTGTAGCACTTGTCAGCTGCTGCTGCTGTTGCACCACCGTCAGCTGCTGCTGCTGCTGCTGTAGTACCGTCTGCTGCTGCTGTAACATCGTCTGCTGGTGCTGTAGCATCGTCTGCTGCTGCTGTAGCACTGTCAGCTGCTGCTGCTGCTGCTGCTGCTGTAGCACCGTTGTTGGTGTGGCTTATTGAGAATACCAAGAAACAATTAACCCCAGAGGATTTGCCACCCAGGATAACCCAAAAAAGTCAGTGTCATCGAAGACTGTCTAACTTATTTCCATTGGGGTCCTTAATCTTGTATCCCAGGATGCAACCCACACCAGTCGACTAACACCCAGGTGAACAGGGAAAAATGCCTGGAACTAGTGCTCATATTGGTGAATTTAAAGCCAGCAAAGGTTGGTTTGAGAGATTTAAGAAGCGTAGTGGCATACACAGTGTGATAAGGCCTGTTCTGGAAGAAAATGCCAAACAGGACCTACAGTACTCAGGAGGAAAAGGCACTCCCAGGACACAGTGTCTCATCAGTCATTGCTGCATCTTCAATAAAGGTAAGTGTCATTTATTCTTCATTTAGTAGAGTAGTACATGCACAATATATATTGTGCATGTACTACTCTACTATTGTGCATGTATCCTTCTCTTTGTGTGTAGGAAAATGTATATTTCATGTGGTAAATTTTTTTTTTTCATATTTTTGGGTGTCTTGCACGGATTAATTTGATTTCCATTATTTCTTATGGGGAAAATTCATTCGCATACCGATCATTTCGCATAACAATCAGCCCTCTTGCACGGATTAAAGTCGCTATGCGGGGGTCCACTGTATATATACAGTGGACCCCGGTTAACGATATTTTTTCACTCCAGAAGTATGTTCAGGTGCCAGTACTGACCGAATTTGTTCCCATAAGGAATATTGTGAAGTAGATTAGTCCATTTCAGACCCCCAAACATACACGTACAAACGCACTTACATAAATACACTTACATAATTGGTCGCATTCGGAGGTGATCATTATGCGGGGGTCCACTGTATATATTTTTTTTATTATTATTATTATTATCACACTGGCTGATTCCCACCAAGGCAGGGTGGCCCGAAAAAGAAAAACTTTCACCATCATTCACTCCATCACTGTCTTGCCAGAAGGGTGCTTTACACTACAGTTTTTAAACTGCAACATTAACACCCCTCCTTCAGAGTGCAGGCACTGTACTTCCCATCTCCAGGACTCAAGTCCAGCCTGCCGGTTTCCTTGAACCCCTTCATAAATGTTACCCTGCTCACACTCCAACAGCACGTCAAGCATTAAAAACCATTTGTCTCCATTCACTCCTATCAAACACGCTCACGCATGCCTGCTGGAAGTCCAAGCCCCTCGCATACAAAACCTCCTTTACCCCCTCCCTCCAACCTTTCCTAGGCCGACCCCTGGAGGTTACCTGGAGGTTATTCCGGGGATCAACGCCCCCGCGGCCTGGTCCACGACCATATATATATATATATATATATATATATATATAATATATATATATATATATATACATACACACACACATATACACGTATATAAAACAACAATCAGCTAGCCAAGGATTCGAACCCATGTTGTACTGGCCCGCCATTGTGAGCGAGAACCACATGATGCCTTAACCCACAGAACCACCCAATCCTACAAGAATCAAGCACCCAGCCAAGCTAGGTGTGTTACTGTTGGTCCAAGGACATATGGAGGTGTGGGAGTTTTCAAACTAATTTCATTCTCATCCTTGTTTGGTGTACTAGCCTATGAGCAGCTCGTTGTGATGCAGTGATGCTGCACCTGCAATAAGGACCCACCTGTGTTGACAACGAGTGCTGGCAACTCGCTGGCACCTCGCACCTGCAGCACCTGAGTACCACTAAACAGCAGGTGGTGCCTATGTTCCTCCTCTGTGAACAAGGTGTGGCTCTCGAACGGCACACCAACCTGCAGTGTGCAAGACTCTGCAATACAAGCTAGTACAATACAGGCTGTTACAATACAGGCTAGTACAATACAGGCTGTTACAATACAGGCTAGTACAACATAGGCTAGTACAATATAGGCTGTTACAAGACAAGCTGGTACAATACAGGCTAGTACAATACAGGCTAGCACAACATAGGCTAGTACAATACAGGCTGTTACAAGACAAGCTGGTACAATACAGGCTAGTACAATACAGGCTAGTACAATACAGGCTAGTACAATACAGGCTAGTACAATACAGGCTGGTACAATACAGGCTAGTACAATACAGGCTAGTACAATACAGGCTGGTACAATACAGGCTGGTACAATACAGGTTAGTACAATAAAGGTTAGCACAATACAGGCTAGTACAATACAGGCTGGTACAATACAGGCTAGTACAGTACAGGCTAGTACAGTACAGGCTAGTACAGTACAGGCTAGTACAGTACAGGCTAGTACAGTACAGGCTAGTACAATACAGGCTAGTACAATACAGGCAAGTACAATATAGGCTAGTACAATACCCAGCAGCAGAATTAATAATTTCATTGCAATTAAATAAATAAGTATACTAAGTAACTGCAGGGTGGAAGTGATGTGATAACAGCCAGAAGTTGTGGTGACAAGACACATATGTTATGATCAAGTCATTTAATAAGGAAATCTCACCATGAATGGGTTCTTTACGACTGAAGAAGCCACTCGTGGCAAAACGTTTCCTTACTAAATGCCTTGATCAGTGCATACGTACGTTTCACCTATGTAAGTTATTCAAGGAAAAGTACTATATAATTCAAGTTAAAGTACTATATAATTCAAAGAAAAGTAGTATATAATTCAGGAAAAGTATTATAGTATAATTAAGGAAAAGTACTATAAAAGTATCATTAAAAGCACTTGAGTATTTGATTCTAGGTAGCTCAAAAATCTAAATCTGTAGACCAGTTTAAAGGTTGTGCCTTGACACAGCTGCCTTAATGATTTTAAAGGATGTGCCTTGACATAGCTGCCTTAATGAGTCTCTCTACCTAAAGTTAGTTTAATATATTTATTAAGTATTTCATACCCATCCTGTGGGTGGTAGTCAAAAAGATTACAGAGATAAATAATTAATGGGTCCTCACAGGGCTGCATAGTTTTGATAGCTAAACAAGTTACAGGGGTAATTTATTTATTTATTAATTTGAACATGATACAGTGAAGTACAAAAGAATACAGTTAAATGCAGCATGCCAAAGCCACTTGAATGCATAGCATTATGGGCAGGCTTAAAATTAACTTAAGATTAACTAAGCAATGAAGTATTCAGTGGTAAAACATTATTGTAAACAGATAATAAGCACAAATGAGTATTACAAAAAAAGGTTGTATTATTCAGTATTAATTTAGTTGTGGGTGAGTAAGTGATTTTTGAGAAGAGACTTGAATTTATAAATAGACAGTGTTTCTTTTATATTCACAGGTAATGAATTCCAGATTTTAGGGCCTTTTATGTGCATTGAGTTTTTGCATAGCGTGCGATGGACACGAGGAACATCAAAGAGTGATCTGTGTCTTGTGTTATGGTCATGTGTTCTGTTGAGGTTGGTAAGGAGATGTTTGAGGGGAGGGTTTATGTCAGAGTTAAGTGTTCTATGTATGTAGTAGGTGCAGTAATAAGTATGGATGTTTTGTATTATGAGTAGGTTTAGAGTTTTGAATAACAAAACTGATAACAAAAAAAGGCACAATACCGTGACTGGAAAAATACACAAATAACCCACACATAGAAGAGAGGAGCTTGCGATGATGTTTCAGTCCGACTAGGACCATTTACATGGAATACTTCGAGACTGTTCTTCTTCCTGCTATTGATGTGAGCCCTTCACTCTGGCTCCGCTATGTAGATGACATCTTAGTTCTGTGGCTTTATGACTCTAGTCTCTTCCAACCACTTCTTGATGCTCTTAATAATCTTGCACCTTCCATTAAGTTTAAAGCTGAATGGGAATCTAATTCCCTGCTTCCTTTCCTTGATGTCCATGTCCACAGCTCAGATACAGGTTTTGCCTTTTCCGTTTACCGCAAGCCTATGCACAGTGGCATGTACATTCACTACTTTTCTTATCATGCTTCCTCTGTCAAGGAAAGTGTTCTTATCTCCCTCTTTCTCCGTGCCCTCTGCATTTGTAATCCTCAATTCCTTCAATCAGAAATTTCCACTCTGCATAATTCATTTCCCGTCTTGGCTACCCTTCCCATTTCATAGACTCCGCCTTCTCATATGCTAAACATAATATCTTCTCTCCCAAACTCTCTACTCCTGGGAACTCTTCTGCCCTCTGCCTTTCCTACATTTCCAGTCTGTCTAATCTCAACAACTTGCTCCATTCCTTAGACTTCAAACTTACTTTCCACCAGACTAACACTCTTCACACTGATCTCGTTCATACCTATCTTCCCTCTACAGATGCTCCTGGTGTTTACTCTATTTCTTGTTCCTCCTGTCCTCTCCAATACTTTGGAGAAACTGGCCGATCTCTTTCTGACAGACTCAGGAAGCACAAAAGTAGTGTTAGGCTTGCCGACACTAACAATGATCTTTTCTGTCACGTCAGAGATCACAGCCATCCTATCGACTGGTCCTCTGCTAAAACTGTCTTCCCTACCTCCAACTTCAACAGTTGCCGTCTAGTTGAATCCTCCCTAATACACAACTTTTCTTGTATGAATCTTGGTCCTGGCTTCATCTCTGTAGATGCCTTCCTTTCCCACTACATTGTAAAATGCTCCAAACTTCAGAACACACATGACTTAACCTGATTCTTCCTTTTTCTTCTTCTCCCTCTTCCCCTTTCCTCTTTCCTTTTTCTCCTTTGGGGTGTCTTTCTTCAGCCTTGTATATTTGTTCCTTCTTTATTTATTTATTTATTTATTATTTTCCCCCCTCTGTGTTCTTGCTCTTACCCTCTGTGGGCATCTAGCTCCCTTGCAGTGCTCCTCTTTCTTAGTATTTGATGGGCTCCTCCTCCTTCTTACTACCTCCCCCACTACTACTACTACCTTCTACCTCCACTACTACTGCCTCCTGCCTATATATACCCCTCCCTCTCTCCTTTTCATTAGTGTGACTTTGTAAATGGTCCAAGTTGGACCAAAACTTCTATGTGTGGGTTATTTGTGTAATAAACTGTTTACATGTTTATATCTGATCACAATCGTAATGAGTTATTTATGCAGGCATAAATTAGGTGACAAAAATTATTACAGAAATATTACCTTACATTTTAGCAAGGTATGCTTGTAAAAAAAAGGTTAAGTGGTTATGCATTATTTACAAGAGGTAAAGTCAGGGTATTTTTCCAGAATGGTTGGTAATATGTCACTGAGGATAAAATACTCTGACATTTCTGAGTGAGCTATCTCTGAATTCATTAATTTTATTGCATCCCAGTACACAATGACCATTGTCCACCTGGCAAAGTTTACATTTAGTTTGGTCTACATCATCTAGTGGTGGTGATTCCTCCCAGAGACACTGGTAACCCAGTTGGAGCTGGGCAGTAGTGACATCCATGACTCTGCTTATTTTGTTGGATGCACCATAGACATCTGGCTCCTCCTGCATGATAAGAGTGATGACAGGTTGACTGACTGGTATCAGTCTCCCTCAGTTTCGAGTCATTGAAGTTCAGCTGAAGTTCTTTTCGTATTACAGCCCAAGATTGCAATCTAATGGCTGATCATCACCTTCTTGACCTTCCTACTGACATTAAGTGTCCATTTTGAGTTACTCAATATTATTATTATTATACATTCAAGGGGGAGCACTAGACCCATTGGGGTCATACAGTGCCAGAGGATTGGGAGGCAATCAGATTTGAATCAAGAGGGTAGCTCCGATTCTTGAGATCAAGAGCCTCTCAACAGTATTAAGGTACTTTCCCTAGAGGGTACCCATCAATAATGAGTTTTTTGAGGGCTACCCACTGTCATTAGGTTCATTTTTTGTATTACTTCTTAACTTTAAATTACTTTTTATAGTATTTTCACTGGCTTTAAATAGCCTTTTCTTCACCTTAAGTGAGAGAAAAGTTGCCATGTTGAAAATACCTCTGTCCATGAGTGAGGTGGGCGAGTGTGCTACTAACCTTGGTGACGGGTATGGACTCGCCTGTGAGCATAGCTTCGTTGGTGATGACAGAACCCTGCAGGAGCACAGCATCCACCTCCAGGCAGTGTAGAGTGTCTGAGATCAACACCACATCCCCAGGAACCAGCTCACGAGATGAAACTTCTCTGCCTGTGACATATTATGATTTAGATTTTTAGATCTTGCCGCTAAAGCAGCTGGTTTATTGTGCACTCCATATCCATCCTGTGGATGGTAGTGCAATGAAAAATGGATACACAAAAGGATTTAAATGGGTTAAATAGAAGTACACCTTGGTATTTTTTTTTTTTAACAAGTTGGCCGTCTCCCACTGAGGCAGGGTGAGCCAAAAAGAAAGAAAATCCCCAAAAAGAAAATATTTTTATAATCATTCAACACTTTCACTTCACTCATACATAATCACTGTTTTAGCAGAGGTGCCCAGTTTTGAAGCATATACATATAAAGATACACAACATATCCCTCCAAATTGCCAATATCCCAAACCCCTCCTTTAACGTGCAGGCACTGTACTTCCCATTTCCAGTACTCAAGTCCGGCTATATAAAAATAACCGGTTTCCCTGAATCCCTTCACTAAATATTACCCTGCTCACACTTCGACAGCTCGTCAGGCCCCAAATAGCATTCGTCTCCATTCACTCCTATCTAACACGCTCATGCATGCTTGCTGGAAGTCCAAGCCTCTCGCCCACAAAACCTCCTTTACCCCCTTCCTCCAACCTTTTTGAGGACAACCCCTACCCCACCTTCCTTCCCCTACAGATTTATACACTCTCCATGTCATTCTACTTTGATCCATTCTCTCTAAGTGACCAAACCACCTCAACAACCCCTCTTCAGCCCTCTGACTAAAACTTTGATTAACTCCACACCTTCTCCTCAATTCCACACTCCAAATTCTCTGCATAATATTTACACCACACACTGGCCTTAGACAGGACATCTCCACCGCCTTCAACCGCCTCCTCACTGCAGCATTTACAACCCAAACTTCACACCCATATAAGAGTGTTGGTACCACTATACTTTCATACATTCCCTTCTTTGCCTCCATAGATAATGTTTTTTGTCTCTAAATATACCTCAATGCACCACTCACTTTTTTTCCTTCATCAATTCTATGCTTAACCTCATCCTTCATACATCCATCTGCTGACATGTGAACTCCCAAATATCTGAAAACATTCACTTCTTCCATACTCCTCCTCTCCAATTTGATATCCAATTTTTCTTTATCTAAATCATTTGATACCCTCATCACCTTACTCTTTTCTAGGTTCACTTTCAACTTTCTACCTTTACACACTCTCCCAAACTCGTCCACTAACCTTTGCAACTTTTCTTTAGAATCTCCCATAAGCACAGTATCATCAGCTTAAAGTAACTGTGTCAATTCCCATTTTGTATTTGATTCCCCATAATTTAATCCCACCCCTCTCCCCAACACCCCAGCATTCACTTCTTTTACAACCCCATCTATAAATATATTAAACAGCCATGGTGACATTACACATCCCTGTCTAAGACCCACCTTTACTGGGAAGTAGTCTCCCTCTCTTCTACACACCCTAACCTGAGCCTCACTATCCTCGTAAAAACTCTTTACAGCATTTAGTAACTTACTACCTATTCCATATACTTGCAACATCTGCCACATTGCTCCCCTATCCACTCTATCATATGCCTTTTCTAAATCCATAAATGCAATGAAAACTTCCCTATCTTCATCTAAATACTGTTCACATATATGCTTCAATGTAAACACTTCATCTACACATCCCCTACCCACTCTGAAGCCTCCTTGCTCATCTGCAATCCTACATTCTGTCTTACCTCTAATTCTTTCAATAATAACCCAACTTTTCCTGGTATACTCAGTAAACTTATTCCTCTATAATTTTTACAATCTCTTTTCTCTCCCTTCCCTTTATATAAAGGAATTATACATGCTCTCTGCCAGTCCCTAGGTACCTTTCCGTCTTTCATACATTTATTATTTTATTTATTATCACACTGGCCGATTCCCACCAAGGCAGGGTGACCCGAAAAAGAAAAACTTTCACCATCATTCACTCCATCACTGTCTTGCCAGAAGGGTGCTTTACACTACAGTTTTTAAACTGCAACATTAACACCCCTCCTTCAGAGTGCAGGCACTGTACTTCCCATCTCCAGGATGCTTCATACATTTATTAAACAAAAATACCAACCACTCCAACACTATATCCTCCCCTGCTTTTAACATTTCTGTCATGATCCTATCAGTTCCAGCTGCTTTACCCCCTTTCATTCTACATAATGCCTCACACACCTCTCCCACACTCACATCCTGCTCTTCTTCACTCCTAAAAGATGGTATACCTCCCTGGCCAGTGCATGAAATTACCACCTCCCTTTCTTCCTCAACATTTAAAAGTTCCTCAAAATGTTCTTGCCATCTACCTAATACCTCCCTCTCCCCATCTATTAACTCCCCTAGTCTGTTTTTAACCGGCAAATCCATACGTTCCCTAGGCTTTCTTAACTTGTTTAACTCACTCCAAAATTTTTTCTTATTTTCATTAAAATTTCTTGACAGTGCCTCTCCCATTCTATCATCTGCTCTCCTTTTGCACTCTCTCACCACTCTCTTCACCTTTCTTTTACTCTCCATATACTCTGCTCTTCTTATAACACTTCTGTTTTGTAAAACCCTCTCATAAGCTAATTTTTTCTCTTTTATCACACCCTTTACTTCATCATTCTACCAATCACTCCTCTTTCCTCCTGCACCCACCCTCCTATAACCTGGGTAAATATTAACACTATATCCAATATAACTACGAGTTTTTCAAACATATGGATTACATAAAACATTGGTATTTAAAGGGCATGGGGAAGGTGAGGTGCTGTTAGGTACATTAGCAGGTTTAGTGCCACTGGAATAGTTCAAATGATGCAGGGGTAAATTAGAGTCAGGTCATTGTGTTCTGTTATTACCAGTAAAATGGATTTGGATAAAATGTACATCCTTCTATTTTGCTTGTTCTACAGTGTTGGTGTGATGGAGGGTGACAGAATTTGAGTTTAGTTTTGTTGCAGTCTATGTAAATAAGATGCATTTTTTCCAGTTCATGATATGTAAATACATGTATATGCTTCTGCATAATACAGTGGACCCCCGGTTAACGAACTTTTTTCATTCCAGTAGTATGTTCAGGTGCCAGTACTGACCAAATTTTTTCCCATAAGGAATATTGTGAAGTAGATTAGTCCATTTCAGACCCCCAAACATACACGTACAAACGCATTTACATAAATACACTTACATAATTGGTCGCATTTGGAGGTGATCATTAAGCGGGGGTCCACTGTACTCATGCATTGCATGTGTCATCCACTCAGCAAACATGCTTTTTGTTCTTTAAGTCTAGCATCTAAATCCCTCGCTGTGTCGTCTACATGAAAGCGGTCACACCCACTATAGACTCCTGCTGTGCCTGTATATTTGTTGAAGTGAGGTGTTTCAAGTTAATTCTTTGATTCATTTAGAAGAAAGTAAGATAATGCTCATGTTGGTTTTCTGCAGGAGGAGGAGGAGGAGGAGTAGGGGGATGTTATGGTTACAGCTGTAGGTCCATTTGGAAGCACGAATCTTTGCTCGGTGGTTATTATGGGTAATTTCAAACACAAAGAAATAGACTGGGAGAACTGGGACCCACAAAGGGGATCAGAAACATGGAGGGCTAAACTGATGGAAGTAGTCAGTGAAAACTTATGTGCCAACTTGATGAGAATACAACAAGAGATAAAGGAGCATATGCACCAGCAAAGCTAGACCTAGTATTTATTGAGAGTATGTCCAACATAGGAGATACAGAATACGAGAGCCCCCTGGGGGCCAGTGATCATGTAGTATTTAACTTCAAGTACCTTGTGGAACTAAACTTAGAGGAAAGCTTGGCAAGTGGAGTGGCTGAGAAGCCAACCTTTAGAAGCAGGAACCTTACAGGGCTGAGGGAACTCTTGAAAGCACTGCAGTGGGAAAGGGAACTGTAGGGATAGCCAGTGAATGAGATAATGGAGTATATATTTAGGAAGTACCAGGAGAAAACAGAAAATTTTATACCTAGATAAAGACAGGGAAATAGAATTAACAAAGAGAGACCTTGGTTCAACCAAAGATATACAGAGGCAAAAATGGAAGCATAAAAGCATGGAGAAATCTATCAGAAGTCAAGAACAAATGAAAACAAAGTGAGTAGATTAATCAGCAATGAATATGCAAGGGTAAGGTAAGAGGCTGAGCGACAATTTAAGAAAGACATAGCAACCAAGGCAAAGTCTAAACCAAAACTATAAAAGACTGGGTAATTCAAGTGAAGAAAGAAGAAGAGCTCATGGAAAATGACAATGAGGTCAGCAAAGTGCTGAACAAACGATATAAGAGGTCTTCTCAGTGGAAACAAGGGCAATGCCAGGAAGTCCAAGGAAAAGAGTACATTAGCAGGTATAAGACATCATACACACAACAAAGATAGAGGCAAACAAACTTTTGCTGGAGATGGATACATCAAAGGCAGTGCGACCTGACAAGTCAATGAACATGGGATAATGTTGCAAGGTGATTGTTAGAGAATGTAAACATAATGTGGTCACTGAGAGTATATACAGTTAGAGAGGTGCCAAGTGCTGCAAGGTAACTGATAGTTTATAAACACCTGCCCAGAATACTGTTGTCATTGTTTAAAGGGGTCCCGAGAACTTAGAGGTCACCAAGTGTTTGTAAATTAAAAAAAAATAAAAAGAGCTTAAACATTACCAAGGGAGTGTAAATCAAGTCCCCAGAGCTAAAAAGTGTGGAAATGTACTAGAAATTCATAATTATTATTATTATTATTATCACACTGGCCGATTCCCACCAAGGCAGGGTGGCCCGAAAAAGAAAAACTTTCACCATCATTCACTCCATCACTGTCTTGCCAGAAGGGTGCTTTACACTACAGTTTTTAAACTGCAACATTAACACCCCTCCTTCAGAGTGCAAGCACTGTACTTCCCATCTCCAGGACTCAAGTCCGGCCTGCCGGTTTCCCTGAACCCCTTCATAAATGTTACTTTGCTCACACTCCAACAGCACGTCAAGTAATAAAAACCATTTGTCTCCATTCACTCCTATCAAACACGTTCACGCATGCCTGCTGGAAGTCCAAGCCCCTTGCACACAAAACCTCCTTTACCCCCTCCCTCCAACCTTTCCTAGGCCAACCCCTACCCCGCCTTCCATCCACTACAGACTGATACACTCTTGAAGTTATTCTGTTTCACTCCAATCTCTCTACATGTCCGAACCACCTCAACAATCCTTCCTCAGCCCTCTGGACAACAGTTTTGGTAATCCCGCACCTCCTCCTAACTTCCAAACTACGAATTCTCTGCATTATATTCACACCACACATTGCCCTCAGACATGACATCTCCACTGCCTCCAGCCTTCTCCTCGCTGCAACATTCATCACCCATGCTTCACACCCATATAAGAGCGTTGGTAAAACTATACTCTCATACATTCCCCTCTTTGCCTCCAAGGACAAAGTTCTTTGTCTCCTCTTCCATACATTTATTAAATAATTGCACCAACCACTCCAAAACTATATCCCCACCTGCTTTTAACATTTTTATCTTTATCCCATCAATCCCGGCTGCCTTACCCCCTTTCATTTTACCTACTGCCTCACGAACTTCCCCCACACTCACAACTGGCTCTTCCTCACTCCTACAAGATGTTATTCCTCCTTGCCCTATACACAAAATCACAGCTTCCCTATCTTCATCAACATTTAACAATTCCTCAAAATATTCCCTCCATCTTCCCAATACCTCTAACTCTCTATTTAATAACTCTCCTCTCCTATTTTTAACTGACAAATCCATTTGTTCTCTAGGCTTCCTTAACTTGTTAATATCACTCCAAAACTTTTTCTTATTTTCAACAAAATTTGTTGATAACATCTCACCCACTCTCTCATTTGCTCTCTTTTTACACTGCTTCACCACTCTCTTAACCTCTCTCTTTTTCTCCATATACTCTTCCCTCCTTGCATCACTTCTACTTTGTAAAAACTTCTCATATGCTAACTTTTTCTCCCTTACTGCTCTCTTTACATCCTCATTCCACCAATCGCTTCTCTTCCCTCCCGCACCCACTTTCCTGTAACCACAAACTTCTGCTGAACACTCTAACATTACATTTTTAAACCTACCCCATACCTCTTCGACCCCATTGCCTATGCTCTCATTAGCCCATCTATCCTCCAATAGCTGTTTATATCTTACCCTAACTGCTTCCTCTTTTAGTTTATAAACCTTCACCTCTCTCTTCCCTGATGCTTCTATTCTCCTTGTATCCCATCTACCTTTTACTCTCAGTGTAGCTACAACTAGAAAGTGATCTGATATATCTGTGGCCCCTCTATAAACATGTACATCCTGAAGTCTACTCAACAGTCTTTTATCTACCGGCACGCCGCACTTGAGTCCTGGAGATGGGAAGTACAGTGCCTGCACTCTGAAGGAGGGGTGTTAATGTTGCAGTTTAAAAACTGTAGTGTAAAACACCCTTCTGGCAAGACAGTGATGGAGTGAATGATGGTGAAAGTTTTTCTTTTTCGGGCCACCCTGCCTTGGTGGGAATCGGCCAGTGTGATAAAAAAAAAAAAACATAATCCAACAAACTACTGTCATTTCGCCCTACATCATATCTTGTATACTTATTTATCCTCTTTTTCTTAAAATATGTATTACCTATAACTAAACCTCTTTCTATACAAAGTTCAATCAAAGGGCTCCCATTATCATTTACACCTGGCACCCCAAACTTACCTACCACACCCTCTCTAAAAGTTTCTCCTACTTTAGCATTCAGGTCCCCTACCACAATTACTCTCTATTATTATTATATTATTATTATATTTACAGGAAAATGCAAAACCTGTAGGGGTCACACAGCACCTGGGGAGTGGAAGGTAATCTGGTTCACTCTAAGATGAAGGTGCCCTGTGGCCTGGTGGCAAAAGCTCTCGCTTCACACGGTGAGGGTCCGGGTTCAATTCCCGGTGAAGGGGGTGGAAACATTGGAAGTGTTTCTTTACACCAGTTGTCTATGTCCACCCATCAGTAAAATGGGTACCTGGGTGTTAGTTGACTGGTGTGGGTCGCATCCTGGGACAAAACTGATCTAATTTGCCAGAAATGCTCTGCATAACAAGTGGCTTTCTATAATATAGTAGTACATACATATGTCATTGATGTCAGCTAGGCCTGTATACCTTGTACATGTATTTGTAGAAAATGAAGATATTACTATTATTAAGGAGCTAGAAGGGGAAAATCAAGTAGTGAAAGTAACTCACGCTGGCCGTCACGCAGAACCATCACCTCGGACTGTGATGTCACTGTCTTCCGCAGCGCACGACTTTGCTGCCGGTTGGGAGGGGGTGAAGTACATATAAATAATATCTAAATTAAACAATATAAATATAATGTAATTAACTTGTGAGATGAATCTACCACAAACAAGGGTTAACTTTGCTAAGGCATAATATTTAATTGTTTGTGGAGAATTTGCAAAACTACGAAGTAATATTAATGAAGGTATTGTAACTCCACAAACGGCCAGGACTTGAACCCATTACAAGCCAATCTAAACACACCCTTCCCCAAGTTGTTTACAATTGTGTTATTACGACTCTTGAGAGTCAAAGATATTAATAATTGGGTTGGCACATGCACACATTCATTTTTTTATTAATAAAACATATCAGATAATTAGTTAGCTTATAATGACATGAACTATCATGCTCTGAAGAATATGAGACAATGTCTAAAATAGTTGACACTAATACACGTATACATGTACGTGTCTGCTTTTTATGCAGTTTGCACAATCAAGTATGTTTTTAAACCAACACCAAAGCTTTCTATTATTAAGTGACAAAAAGCGATACAAACTTAGAAAACCACACAAAAATTTTTAGACGGTCTTATACAAGCATTGTTTATGACTGACAAAGAATTACTAATAATCAACAAAATATTACTAATGACCAACAAAATATTACGAATAACCAACAAAATATTCCTAATAACAAAACACTACCAATAACCAACAAAGAATTACTACTAATCAACAAAACATTACTAATGACCAACAAAACATTAATAATAACTAACATTATTAATAACTAACAAAACATTACTAATAACCAACAAAACATTATTAACCAACAAAACATTAGTAATAACCAACATAACATTAGTAATAACCAACATAACATTACTAATAACTAAGAAACATAGCTAATAACCAACATTATTTTTATTATTATTATCATGGAGTGCTAAACCCATAGGATTATACAGTGCATGTGGGGGGATATGGAAGGTATTCAGGCTCAATTCAGGGCACCGGAGCACAGATCCAATTCCCTAGATCAAGAGTCCCTCACCAGCGTCAAGGAACCTCCCTAGAAGGGCTAATAACCAACAAAGCGTGTGGAAAATCCATGGAGAGATTAGTTTCCCTGAATGAATCTTCCTGGATTTACTGCTCTATTTTTGCAACAGTGCAAGCTTCTGATAATGCACTGATTGCAACACAAAAGGCCTAGAGCTACCATTTAACTCCCCCTGTGGTTATTGTGCATCTTCTATAGCTCGTTCGCAATTATTGCATAATACAGTCTATGTATACTACTAACATAAAGGCATGTGATGATTCTGGCATAAACCATGAGCTCCTAAGTTCTATGCTCCTCCAGAGTGTAGATCAACAACCCAGTGTGGTCAGAAATACCCTGGAAGGCAGTAAGACGAGGAAGGTCTCCATCCGGCTCCTTAAATCTCTCCAGGTAGGCCATAAAGGTAACTTATGTGTCAGGATCTGCACAAGTCTTTAATACACAGGTATGTTTTGCCGGTTCACATTGTGAGTTCTAGCAGTGGGACTGCAGTTCTAGCAGTGGGACTGAAGTTCTTTACTGACTACACCAGAAAATCTCAACCAGTCTACTATTGGTAAGTACTAACAGTCCAGAGATGCCTGGTACTTAGCGTGGATTGCATTGACGAGGTGACTGATTAATTAGTACATGTATCTGGTTGGTACTTAGCATGGATTGCATTAACGAGGTGACTGACTAATTAGTATCAGTCAAGAAGATCCCTTTTATCAACCAAGCATTATTAATGACCAGCAAAGCAAGGCTGAAACAATTCATAAAAATATAAGCTTTGGAGAGGAAACTTTAGACGGCATTTTGGTCCATCACAAGTGACTTAATAATGGTCTAGTAAAGACCAAAACGTCAACCAAAGTTTCTTCTCCAAAGTGTGGGTTATATGTGAATTAATGGTCAGTAAATTCTGAAGAAAATACTACTGGATGAACTTTCCCCAGAATTAAGTTCTCAACAAATACAACAACAGTACTTGTGACATCATGCAGAAGTTAAACCACACATGGAAAGTTTGCCATCTTCTAGAAGCTAAGCACACTATAGTTAAGATTAAGGTTTGATTAGGAATAGTTAATTTAAATTATATTACAGGTATTGCTACTTCTCTATGGGAGCGTCTTCTAGCAAACAGTGAATGGTCCAGCAGTACAAAAATGAGAATTAAGTTGTCACATCTACACCGGGACAGCACTAACTTGCCTCGTCTCGTGACGAGCACTAACCTGCCTTGTGTCATAGACACCTAGAGACAGAGTAATAATGGACAGCATCACCAAGCCACCACTTAGAATGTAATTGCCATCCAAGCTCCAGATCACCACACAAAATGCTTGAAACACGTAGAATGGGTTTAATGCCTGTAATTGTGAAGTCTCACAGTTATAACTCACACACACACACACACACACACACACACAGGACAGACAGGATGTTCCAGAGAGGGAACACAGAAACAAGGGGTCACAACTGGAAGCTGAAGACTCGGACGAGTCAGAGGGATGTTAGGAAGTACAGTGGAACCTCAAAAATCGAACTGCTCCCAACACGACCAATTATGTAAGTGTATTTTTGTAAGTGCTTTTATAAGTGTATTTTTGAGGGTATGAAATGGACTAATCTAATTTACATCATTCCTGATGGGAATAAATTCATTCGGTAAAGGCACTCGAACAGCCTTCTGGACCGAAGAAAGTTCGATATTTGAGGTTCCACTGTACATCTTCAGTCGCAGAGTCATTGGGAAGTGGAATGGCCTGGCAAGTGATGTAGTGGAGGCAGGAACCATACATAGCTTTAAGATGAGGTATGACAAAGCTCAGGAAGCAGAGAGAGAGAGAGAGAGAGAGAGAGAGAGAGAGAGAGAGAGAGAGAGAGAGAGAGAGAGAGAGAGGACCGAGTAGCGATCAGTGAAGAGGTGGGGCCAGGAGCTAAGTCTCGACCCCTGCAACCACAATTAGGCGAGTACAATTATGTGGGTGAGTACACACACACACACACACACAGGGAGAGTGAACTAGTAGCGACCAGTGAAAAGGTGGGGCCAGGAGCTGGGACTCAACCCCTGCAACCTCAACTAGGTGAGTACACACACACACACACACACACACACACACACACACACACACACACACACACACACACACACACACACACACACACACATACACACACACTTTTTAAACAGGGTCTGACAAGGTTAGGTTAAGGATCCCTGGCTTTATTGACAAGCTATTTACAAGTTAAGGATTCCTAACTTCATTGACAATCTAAGAGCTGATACCTACATCAGCTCATTTGAAAACATTGTTATTGTTACGAAACATACAAGCAGAGAACAGGATGAAGTTGGAGCCATCTGTGGGCATGCATTTTCATTTGATCAACCTCGTTGACATCATAATGCTGTACAAATCTGTGTGTGTGTGTTTGTGTGTGTGTGTGTGTGTACTCACCTATTTGTGGTTGCAGGGGTCAAGTCATAGCTCTTGGCCCCACTTCTTCATTGATTGCTACAAGGTCCTCTCTCTCCCTGCTCCATGAGCTTTAACAAACCTCGTCTTAAAACTACGTATGGTTCCCGCCTCCACTACATCACTTTCTAGGCTATTCCACTGCCTGACAAATCTATGACTGAAGAAATACTTCCTAACATCCCTTTGATTCATCTGAATCTTCAACTTCCAATTGTGACCTCTTGTTTCTGCGTCCCATCTCTGGAACATCCTGTCTTTGTCCACCTTGTCTATTCTGCACAGTATTTTATATGTCGTTATCATGTCTCCCCTGACACACCTGTCCTCCAGTGTCATCAGGCCGATTTCCCTTAACCTTTCTTCATAGGACAATCCCCTTAGCTCTGTGTGTGTGTGTGTGTGTGCCTTGTGCACACACTCGCCTAGTTGTACTCACCTAGTTGTGGTTGCCAGGGTCAAGTCATAGCTTCTGGCCCTGCCTCTTCACTGACCACTACTGGGTCACTCTCCCTGCACCATGAACTTTATCATACCTCTGCTTAAAGCTATGAATGGATCCTGCATCCACTACATCACTTCCCAAACTATTCCACTTCCTGATTCATATGTTTCTTCAACTTCCAATTGTGTCCCCTTGTTGCTGTGTCCCATCTCTGGAACATCCTGTCTTTGTCCACCTTGTCTATTCCGTGCAGTATTTTATATGTCGTTATCATGTCTCCCCTGACCCACCTGTCCTCCAGTGTCATCAGGCCGATTTCCCTTAACCTTTCTTCGTAGGACAATCCCCTTAGCTCTGTGTATGTGTGTGTGTGTGCCTTGCGCACACACTCACTTAGTTGTGGTTGCCGGGGTCGAGTCATAGCTTCTGGCTCTGCCTCTTCACTGACCACTACTGGGTCACTCTTCCTGCACCATGAACTTTATCATACCTCTGCTTAAAGCTATGAATGGATCCTGCATCCACTACATCACTTCCCAAACTATTCCACTTCCTGATTCATCTATTTCTTCAACTTCCAATTGTGTCCCCTTGTTGCTGTGTCCCATCTCTGGAACATCCTGTCTTTGTCCACCTTGTCTATTCCGTGCAGTATTTTATATGTCGTTATCATGTCTCCCCTGACCCACCTGTCCTCCAGTGTCATCAGGCCGATTTCCCTTAACCTTTCTTCGTAGGACAATCCCCTTAGCTCTGTGTATGTGTGTGTGTGTGCCTTGCGCACACACTCACTTAGTTGTGGTTGCCGGGGTCGAGTCATAGCTTCTGGCTCTGCCTCTTCACTGACCACTACTGGGTCACTCTTCCTGCACCATGAACTTTATCATACCTCTGCTTAAAGCTATGAATGGATCCTGCATCCACTACATCACTTCCCAAACTATTCCACTTCCTGATTCATCTATTTCTTCAACTTCCAATTGTGTCCCCTTGTTGCTGTGTCCCATCTCTGGAACATTCTGTCTCTTTCCACCTTGTCAATTCCTCTCAGTATTTTATATGTCGTTATCATGTCCCCCCATGTCTCCTGTCCTCCAGTGTCGTCAGGTCGATTTCCCGTAATCTCTCCTTGTAGGACATACCTCTTAGCTCTGGAACTAGTCTTGTTGCAAACCTTTGCACTTTCTCTAGTTTCTTTACATACGGTGGGTTCCAAACTAGTGCACATACTTCAATATGGGCCTAACGTACACAGTGTACAGGGTCCTGAACGATTCCTTATAAAGATGGCGTAATGCTGTTCTTAGGTTTGCTAGGCGCCCATATGCTGCAGCAGTTATTTGGTTGATGTGTGCCTCAGGAGATGTGCCTGGTGTTATACTCACCCCAAGATCATTTTCCTTTGGTGAGGTTTGTAGTCTCTGGCCCCCTAGACTGTACTCCATCTGTGGTCTCCTTTGCCCTTCCCTGATCTTCATGACTTTGCACTTGGTAGGGTTGAACTCCAGGAGCCAGTTGCTGGACCAGGCCTGCAGCCTGTCCAGATCCCTTCGTATAGTTCTGCCTGATCCTCATCTGATTGAATTCTTCTCATCAGCTTCACATCATCTGCAAACAGAGACACTTCGGAGTCTATTCCTTCCATCATGTCATTCACAAATATGTACCAGAAACAGCACCGGTCCTAGGACTGACCCCTGTGGTACCCCACTTGTCACAGGCGCCCACTCTGACACCGTGCCTCGTACCATGACTCTCTGCTGTCTTCCTGACAGGTATTCCCTGATCCATTGTAGTGCCTTCCCTGTTATCCCTGCTTGGTCCTCCAGTTTTTGCACTAATCTCTTGTGTGGAACTGTGTTAAATATCTTCTTACAGTACAAGAAAATGCAATCTACCCATATCTCTATCTCTATCTATCTGTGTGTGTGTGTGTGTGTGTGTGTGTGTGTGTGTGTGTGTGTGTGTGTGTGTGTGTGTGTGTATGTGTGTGTATGTGTATGTGTGTGTGTGTGTGTGTGTGTGTGTGTGTGTGTGTGTGTGTGTGTGTGTGTGTGTGTGTACTCACCTAGTTGTACTCACCTAGTTGAGGTTGCAGGGGTCGAGTCCGAGCTCCTGGTCCCGCCTCTTCACTGATCGCTACTAGGTCACTCTCCCTGAGCCGTGAGCTTTATCATACCTCTGCTTAAAGCTATGTATGGATCCTGCCTCCACTACATCGCTTCCCAAACTATTCCACTTACTGACTACTCTGTGGCTGAAGAAATACTTCCTAACATCCCTGTGATTCATCTGTGTCTTCAGCTTCCAACTGTGTCCCCTTGTTACTGTGTCCAATCTCTGGAACATCCTGTCTTTGTCCACCTTGTCAATTCCTCTCAGTATTTTGTATGTCGTTATCATGTCCCCCCTATCTCTCCTGTCCTCCAGTGTCGTCAGGTTGATTTCCCTTAACCTCTCCTCGTAGGACATACCTCTTAGCTCTGGGACTAGTCTTGTTGCAAACCTTTGCACTTTCTCTAGTTTCTTCACGTGCTTGGCTAGGTGTGGGTTCCAAACTGGTGCCGCATACTCCAATATGGGCCTAACGTACACGGTGTACAGGGTCCTGAATGATTCCTTATTAAGATGCCAGAATGCTGTTCTGAGGTTTGCTAGGCGCCCATATGCTGCAGCAGTTATTTGGTTGATGTGCGCTTCAGGAGATGTGCCTGGTGTTATACTCACCCCAAGATCTTTTTCCTTGAGTGAGGTTTGTAGTCTCTGGCCCCCTAGACTGTACTCCATCTGCGGTCTTCTTTGCCCTTCCCCAATCTTCATGACTTTGCACTTGGTGGGATTGAACTCCAGGAGCCAATTGCTGGACCAGGTCTGCAGCCTGTCCAGATCCCTTTGTAGTTCTGCCTGGTCTTCGATCGAGTGTATTCTTCTCATCAACTTCACGTCATCTGCAAACAGGGACACCTCAGAGTCTATTCCTTCCGTCATGTCGTTCACAAATACCAGAAACAGCACTGGTCCTAGGACTGACCCCTGCGGGACCCCGCTGGTCACAGGTGCCCACTCTGACACCTCGCCACGTACCATGACTCGCTGCTGTCTTCCTGACAAGTATTCCCTGATCCATTGTAGTGCCTTCCCTGTTATCCCTGCTTGGTCCTCCAGTTTTTGCACCAATCTCTTGTGTGGAACTGTGTCAAACGCCTTCTTGCAGTCCAAGAAAATGCAATCCACCCACCCCTCTCTCTCTTGTCTTACTGCTATCACCATGTCATAGAACTCCAGTAGGTTTGTGACACAGGATTTCCCGTCCCTGAAATCATGTTGGCTGCTATTGATGAGATCGTTCCTTTCTAGGTGTTCCACCACTCTTCTCCTGATAATCTTCTCCATGATTTTGCATACTATACATGTCAGCAACACTGGTCTGTAGTTTAATGCT